ATAAGAGATAATCCTTACTTGACTAACGTGTCGACGTGGTGCCGGGGCGTGGGGATTTTGTGGGAGGTTGATTCCTTTATTACATGGATATGGTTTTTTTTTTTTTTTATCAGCAAAGAAAAATATTATTTTGGAGGTACAGGGGGTACCTCAACCCATTATAACATATTTACAAAAAGAGCCGACAGATAGGATTTGGGGTCAGAGAGCCATATCCCAAAACAAAAGAAGATTACTTTGCAAGTATCCTACATGCTTCCTTTGGACTGTTAAACCAGATTGAATGGGGTAGGTCTGGGGTCAATCTTGCTTTGATCCATGTGTAAGAGTGGGCTTTGATGTGGTCAATAACTTGTTCAATACGTTGTGTTTCTCCCTTGAAAATTAATGCATTTCTCCACAGCCATATAGACCACACTGAGAAAAACCAGATTGTTGACCAGGCTTGCTTTGTTCTTCCTATACTTATGAGACCCATATGTTGCCTTAGGTGGTTCCATCCATCTTCTTGTGTGGCTGTCTTGATGCCCCACCAATCATAGCAAAGACACCATACTTTCCATGAGACTAGGCAGGAGAAAAGTATGTGTGATGCTGTCTCGATCTTTTCTCCACATAGAGTGCATTTTGTTCCTGTTGTCTCTTCAATCATACCTCTTTTTAGGAGATTTTCTTTAGTTGGAATCCTATTTTGTAAGGCTCTCCAAGCAAAGGCTGATATCTTCAACAGAATTTTACTATCCCAAATTAGCTTGTATTTGTGGTCCGGACTACCATCTTGTTTTTGGTTTAATAAGTTGTATGCCGATCTCACTGAGTACTTGCCTATTGGGTCATGCTTCCACTCATAGCAGTCGTCTTCACCTTGTTTCAGCTTTGTCCCTTGTGCTGTTGTGAGGAGATCTTGTAGCATGTCAGTTTCCCATGTGAAGAGTCTCCTTCTCCACTTCCAGTTCCACGTCCATTCCCCTTTCTTCCATTCTCCCATATCTGCAACACAAACATCTTTTTCCCTGGACAAGCTGAATAATCTATTAAATTTCTCTTTTAGAGGCATATCTCCCGCCCAAACCTCGTGCCAGAACAGAGTTTCTTTTCCTTCTCTTACTATTTTTCCTACCCCTTCCTTGAACCATCCCCTCTTGCCATCTACTTCAAATTCTATCTTCCATAGGTCTCCCCACCATGCCGATCCTAGCCTGTCCCATTTATTTGCTTCCCACGCCTCCCTTTTATCTATTTTATACTTTGCCTCCAACACCTGTTTCCAAAGTGCCTCTTTTTCTACTAAAAGTCTCCATCTCCATTTCCCTAATAAGGCTATATTAAACTTTTGAAAATCCTTAACTCCGAGGCCCCCTTGTAACTTCCTATTACAGATAGTCTCCCATTTTACCCAAGCCGTCTTTCTACTATTCTCATCCCCCCCCCCCCCATAAAAAATTTCTTTGTAATTTAGAAAGCAAGAGAGTTACCTGTTTTGGGGCTTTTAGGGTTGAGAAGTAGTACACTAGGATGCTCGAGAGGACAGAATTTAGAAGAATCATACGCCCACCAAAGGATAACGAGTCCCTCTTCCAGTTGGAAAGCCTCCTCTTCATGATTTCAATCACCGGGGCCCAAGTAGACATTCTTCTCGGGTTTGAACCAATTAGCACCCCCAAGTATTTAAAAGGAACCTTGCCAGTGGCACAATTCAATTTCTCTGCATAATCTTCGAGGTTGACCTTATCCACATTGAGTCCTACAAGAGAACTTTTGAAGAAATTAACTTTGAGACCAGAGATCATTTCAAAGCTTCTTAAGATGCTCTTTAGGACCATCACATTTTGCTCATTTGCTTCGCAAAAGAAGATAGAATCATCTGCGTACTGTAAGTGCATGAGTGTAAGGCTGCTTCTATCGATCTCCACCCCCTGAAACAAATTCTCCTCCGCTGCTTTCAACATAAGACCATTAGGGGCTTCTACTATCATGAGGAATATAAATGGGGCTAGAGGATCCCCTTGTCTTAGTCCCTTTTCCATTTGGAATTCTTTTGTAGGGCTCCCATTAACCAGGATTGAAACTGTAGCTGATGATATGCACTCCCTGATCCATGATCTCCACTTGGGTCGAAACCCAAATTTGCTCATCATACTGTCCAAGAACTTCCAATTGACACTATCATACGCCTTTTCAAAATCTGCTTTGAAGATCAGTACTGGCTTTTTGTTGCTCTTAGCTTCATGTACCACCTCATTGGGAATAATTATACCGTCTGTGATTTGTCTTCCTTCTATGAATGCAGATTGTTGAGGACCAATTAGGGAAGATATTACTTTTTTCAATCTGTTTGCTAGGATTTTGGAGATGATTTTGTATATGCAACCAATAAGAGAGATTGGTCTATACTATCCCAAGCCTTGGGGATTCTCCTTCTTAGGGACTAAGACAATAAATGATGCATTACTTCCTTTAGCTAATTTCCCATTCCTGTGAAATTCTGCCATACCTTCATATAGATCCTTCTTCAGTATTGGCCACATTTTCTTCAGAAAATTGAAATTAAAGCCATCCGGTCCTGGGCTTTTACTATCGTTGCACCCCAACACTGCTTCTTGGATTTCTTGCTCTGAAAATGCTGCTTCCAGAAAATTGTTTTCTTCTGTTGATAATTTCCTGAAACTGTCCAACACAAATTCTGGTCTCTCCCATCTTTCTTCCTCAAATTTTTTCTTGAAGTAGTCCTTGATGTGCCTTTTGACCTCCTGAACTTCTTCAACCCATACCCCGTTAATTTGGATTCCTTCAATTCCATTTTGCTTTCTTCTTTGCACCACACATGAGTGAAAATACTTGCTATTTGCATCCCCCCCTTTTAGCCATTTTTGTCTTGATTTCTGGTAAAGCATGCTATCTCTTGCGTTATTCCATTCACATAGCTGTTGGAATGCCTCCTATCTTCTTTTTATCTCTGTGTCATTAAGACTGCTTGATTCCCCTTTTTCATCAATAGCTTTGATTTCTTCCTTTGGCCTTTCTGCGTGTCTGTCAATAGCTCTGAATACCTCTCTGTTCCATCTCTTCAATTCAACCTTTAGCCTCTTGAATTTTTCTTTCAATTTGTAGCATCCCCAGCCATATACTGACATATTGGTCCATTTTTCCTGTATAAAGTTTGCAAATCCTTCATGGTTCCACCAGCAGTCAAGGCTGCAGAAAGGTTTTGGGCCCCAGTCGATGGCACAAGTTTCAAGCACAATTGGACAGTGATCTGATATGTCCCTACTCAGACCCCTCATTGAGATATCAGGAAAACATAACAATAATTCATTTGACAGAAGGAATCTATCTAGCTTACTCATTGCTGAGCCATCTGGTTTATACCAGGTGAATTTCCTACCCTTGAGAGGAATCTCCAAGAGTCCCGTCTCTGATATAAAATTGTTGAATTTGCACATATCAGAGGTATCATACGTTTTGCCTTTTTTCTCTTCTTTGCATCTTATTGCATTAAAGTCACCTGCCAAGCACCAGTTTCCTCCTCCCGCAGCTTTGATTAATTCTTGCAATTCTGACCACATTTGCCACTTCTCTTGCCTATTACATGAGGAATAAATGTTTCCAAAAGAGCAGGGGATCTGATCTACTCCCCAAAAGCCAGTCATGCCGCAGAAACCTGTCCCTTCTAGTTTCTTATGCATCCTAAAAAATTTTGGATTCCAGATGCTCAATATTCCTCCTGCGCTACCTTGAGCTGCTTTCATAAGCCATTCACAATTTTCTGAGCCCCATATAGAGTACACTAGCTTATCATTGATTTGCTCTAGCTTGGTCTCTTGTAAGAAAATCATCTCAACCTTCTCCTTCCTGATCAATTCCCTCACTGCTCTTCTTTTGCTGCTCTTCCCCAGTCCCTTTACATTAAAAGACAGAATCTTCATGGGTTAGTTGGCTTTGCTCCCTGTTTCTTTGCTTCCGCCACTCTATGCTTTGCAGCTTCAATTTTGTCTCTCTTCTCCATATCGTAGAGTCTTTTAATTATTTCTTTAGGGTTGTTCTTGGCGGCTAGCCCCAATTGTTTCCCTATTCTCCACAGTTCTGTTGCTTCTTCGTTGCTGCTATTCTTTGATACCTGATATGCTCTGGACACGCCCTTCTCCATTTGAAATTCCCCTTCAGCTATGAGTCTTCTCTTCCTCAGATGCAGATCTAGTTCGAGATTCGAATGAGCCTTCCTCCTTGTTGTTAACCTCCTTTGTTTCCCTTTCTTTTTCCCCATTTTTCTCTGTCGAGCTATCCTCTCCATTTTAGATTGCAGGATCTCGTCATCACTTGCTAGGCCTTCCCAGAATGGATTGGTTCTCCTTTCTTCTTCAATTGAATCTTCTTCCATGTTCTGCTCCTTTCTTGCTTGGCTCATCTTTTTGCCGTGGATTAGGTCCTCAGTTCCTTTGTCGTACTCCCCTTGAATATAGCTGTGCTCCACTGCTTCTCTTTCTTTACCTTCGTCAACTCTCGAATTAAATGTCATCTGCTCATGGGGCTCCACCATCTTGCTTTCCTTTGTCTGTTTCGTTGGCTCATCTTCTTTTGTTAGGCCCAATGCCCTTTGTTTTGGGTCGAAACCTGGTGGGTATGGGTCTTCATCCGCTCTCTTGCCTCCTTCCTTCTCTTCAATTGACTGGGTTTGTCCCTCGTTAGCTTCTGACTCAGTTTCCCAACAATTCATCATATCGTTCTCCTCGGGTCCTTCAACACCTTGCTGATTTGAAGTTTGCCGCTCCTCATTAATTGCTCTGTCAGATTTTTCTAACGTCTCTGGACCAAATTCAAACTCCATTGCCGCCGATGAAGTTTCTGGCGACCAAGATTGCTCATCTTTGTTCCCATGTTCTATTACTTTCTCGTCTTCAGCCACTTCCCATTGATTCCAGCTTTCTACCTCATTAATAGCGCTCCAATTAGATCCTTTTTACCATGATTCTGATGAGGAGTCTTCATTTCTGCATAGAACAAAGTCTGATCAGAGCGAGAATATGTTATCTACTCCTGCTTCCTCGCTGATCCTTATGCGGAAGAATTGGTTCTTTACTTTAATTTTCAGGACCTTATTGATGTTTTCCTGTTGCGGAGTCAAAATCAATATCTTTGCCACATCTAATCTTGACTTTTTAATTGTGCTCCCATCCAAGGATATGAATTTTCCGAACATACATGCAATTGTTTCAAAGAAATTGCTCTTCCATATTTGGATTAGCACTCCTTGGCATCTAAGCCATGTAAATCTTTCAGTTGCCACTACCTCTGGGGACCATGGTGTAACTTCAGTGAACCACTGTGCTAGCCATTCACTACCTTCAGTTACGAGATGTTTGAGTTCTTCCGCGTCCCCACTTGACAGCAGTACTAGGTTGCTTCCCATTGGAGTAATTTTGGCTGAAAAGTAGCCTTCCATAGCAAATTTGTCTTGTAGGGTGCTGATGATTTCCGGGCATTTTGCATGGCCTATAAAGCATTTTTCCAGCTCCCTTATGTCTTCATCATCGACACCTACTTCCAGACCATACCATCCTTCCCTTTCAATCTTTTTTGCTCCTTCTTGGTCCTTTCTTTTCCACTCCCGACTTGGTCTTTCCTTGCTCATCATTTTTCTTTGGCCTGATCTCACAACCTCTGCATATGTTCGGGTTCCTCTTCTCTGCATCCCACTTGAGCCTGTGATCCCTACATGCATTTTATTATGGACCTTGGATGTTTCCTTCTTCCTTTGGGCTTCATCCTTGGAAAATCTTGCCAGGTTTGCTTGGAGGGTATGATGGTCTATCGTAATACGATTTAGTTGATTTTCCACTGCCTTTGAGTCTTTCACTTCCAAGAATTTTACAAAGCCAAACCGTCTGCCTTTGAAGTCCCTCTTCCTTGCAATGAACACCTGTATCACTCTCCCTACCTTGATGAACACTTTCCACATTTCCCCCATCTCCCAATCTTCAGGAAAGTTTGTGAAGAAGAACGGAGTAGCTCTCTCCAGCACCCCCTTCCCATAGCCGAAAAATGGACGTCGCAATCCTCTGAATCTGTCCTCTCGTTCTGTCCTCTCAAGCCCCTGCAACCTACTTCTCGAAGGGTAATGGAATGGTTGTGGTTTTTGGGTCTGTCCCTCTTTCACCGGTGGGCGCTCGGTTTGGGTTTGGGGTATTCTCGGTGGCCTGAGACCCACCGGGGGAAAGGAGGTGTGCGGGTTTGGGTTTCTCTCTGGTTTTCTCTCTCTAATACTCATTTTTAGGCATTTTTGTCACATTTATTACATGGATATGGTAATTCTTGTAGCAGATGATGAGACTGTCTTTTGGTAGAGTGAATTGGGGGGTAACGACAAGCTCAGATGATGAGATTGTTGCGCAATTAATAAGGTGCACATTCCAATCTCTCGCTTCCTTAGAGAGGCTCTTTGCTTATAGGCTAATTTCATGGGAAAATTTTTACATCATAAGTTTTTTAAAAAGGTTTGTTTAAGGGTACTGATTAAAATTTATTAATTATAAAATTTATAATTAATTTTATATAAATTTTTATATCAAATTTATATCATTTTACATATTTTGAGTATAAATATTATATTATATTTTAATTTTACATTTTATATTTTATTTTAATTGAATCTAATATAAAAATTTGTGTAGAATTAATTAGAAATCCTGCATTTAATGAAACTTAGGACACAAATTTAAAAACTCCTTCTTTAAAAGTACAATAAGGAGAATTATTGAATTGTATAATTGTTTACACCTAAAATAAACCAATGAGAGAAGACCACATGTCAAGTTGAAACTCAATTATCAAGAAAAGTTAGCAGGTTGAATTTAGGCTGGGCTGGGCTAGATTACAATTTAAAGGCCTAGACAGAATTTTAAAGAAGATGGATTTCATGCAACAGAAGATAAAATAACTTCTTGTATTTGAGTTTGATTTAAGTTAGGAAGTTGAAAGTTTTTAGGAGGAGGTTATTTCTAAGGTTTTATTGAAGATAAGATTGAGTAAAAACTGTCAACTGCCAGATAGCTACCAGACATGGAACCCCCATTACTCGATCATGGTAGGAAAGGGTCGAGAAACATGGAGGAGGTTTCCCAACACTGTAGAAAAGAAAAATAGGAGGAAGAGATCAATTCAAGATGACTTACCCTACACACACTGCCCAGGACATGTTTTTCAACTTTCAGACTGCTTTTCCAGATTTCAGCAATAGTTTCCAGATTCGTTTATAAGATATGTTCTTGTTCATAGTCTTAGTTTAGGTTTTTACATTCTTATTCATATCTTTCCTCAAAGATTTCAACTTAAGTTAGTTTTTAAGCATTTGGAAGCAATTCAGCATTCAAAACAGGTCTGCCCTATTGATTTGGTTAGTTCCTCTTTCTTTTATAGATTCAGCTATGTTATTTGTTCATGTAAATAGGTTGAATGCTTTCTGCCTTTGTTTTTTTGTTTCTACACAACAGCCAGACATGCAGTTTATTTAATTTCAATTTCCAGATTTAATTTTATAAGTTTCCAAACTTTAATTATTTCGTAAATTCTCTTTCAGTTTTAGTTATCAAGTAGTTTAGTTATTTTTATTTTAAATCTGCAAGTAATTAAATTTAATTGTTATGGATTGCGTAGTAGAAGTCGTTGTCTGTGGTTTTGCATTTTCTGTTGTTTGCGAATTTTATTTTTATGGCATGTTGTTTTCTTTTATTGATCTTATGTTAGATTAGTTGCCTTAGGATTTTGTGTTAATTTTAGAATTTTTAATTTTTATTACACTTTTGTGATTGTAAAGTCCTTGGAGGTTTCCAAGGCAATTAGTAACTCATTTTGTAGAACTCCACTCTTTGTTTTGCAACATCGTCTGGAGCGTAATTTATTTCACAGATGTTCTTGCCAGCCATCCCATTGGAGATCGACCGTTAAAAAGGAGAAGGGTCATCTGAAAAATCCTGTTTTCTTGTTTTTAGACAAAGCAAATGGCATGTCTAACATCCAAACTCACGTGGTAAAGGTCGGCTGAAGATTTTTTGGGAAACAATAATAAAATTTAGTTGAAATTATAAATATTTTGCCTTAAGTAACAAATTAGTATTAAAAAATGTTGGTAAAAAGATGTAAAGTAGCTCTAAGTATATTAAGAAAGTTAAGAAATTTTTTAAAAAAAAAAAGAAGAAGAAGAAGAAGAAAGAACTCAGTATTTATCAAGAATATTGTAAGAGAAAATAAACAGTAAAAATGTAAATTTTATCCTTTTTTTTTGTGGTATGAGGTGTAAAAATATTAAAATAACTGTAACCTATTCAAATAAAGGAAAAAACTAAGGGAAAGTTTATCCAACCAAACCCGTCCAAAAGGATAAATTCTAATCTTTCCTCTCTAATTAAAGGAATATATATTCCTCAATTGTATTCAAAAGATGTTTAACATTAGAAAATAGGGTACATTAACTCCAATTTCTATTAACAAATTAGAATTTTAATTTTAAAAACACATTCTTTTAATAAATATTTTTAACAACCAACCTTTAAATTTAATGTTCTTTAACAAACCTTTGAATTTAATATAAATTATGCATGTCGATTTTTATATTAATTATTAAATATATATAAATAATTTATTAATTATACAAAATTTAATATTATTAAATATACATTAAAAAAGATAAATTTTCTTTATTAAATGATTATAAATGTTAAATTAATTTAAAAAATTTTATACGTTATATATATCTATATATCTATAGAACATTAAATTCAAGAGTCAGATTCTTAAAAATATATATTTGAGGATGGTGTTTTGAAGTTGAATATAGCAAATGAATGTCAATTCATGAATACTTTCTTTTTCCTTGTGTTATTCTTCTAATCCAATTCTAAAATTGCACAACACATTGTTTTCCAATCCCCTTTAGAACAAGTTTCATACTCGACTTGAAATTTGAAAAGAATCAAGTAGACAGAGATGCTAAAGCCACCATGCAACAGAGGCTGTAAATGGCTGCTTAATCTGCCTTTCTGCTTCTCTTCAAACGGTGTGTCTGCCTGGCATGATACATTGATTATCTTTACATTTATCAGTGTCATATGTCCTTGTGGAAAGAAGTGTATTGGAAATTTTTAACTCCCCTGGAACATCCTAATAGAGATAGAAACAGAGCGAGCAGAGTCAGGGTGATAAAAGTAAGAGATATAACCCGGAAGTTGACAGTCTTGGCTGAAAACATGCTCCGCAAACAGTTAGGTGATGCCTGTGTCTTTGGAGATCTAGTTTCCTTCATGTAGTATTCATCTAAACCAGATTTTCCCCTCTTCATCAATTTGAGTCTTCGGTGTGCTGTGCCTTGGAAAGGAAAAACATGTGATGGCATTTCTTGTGATCTCCACTGACCAGGAATCACAGGCTGGAGGAGGTCAGGTTTTGATGTCAATGATGAAGTTTCATCCAGACTGATTATATCATCATTTAGTATCTCAGCAAAAAAATCATCTTCATCATCAAAATCCTGAAATTTAAGCATAACATAGGTATAAATTGTTGACATTCTGAATGGGACACATGGATGGTAGTTTAAGGAACAAACCTTCTGCTGGCAACAGGATTCAGTCAGTGTAAATTCGGATGTTGAATCATTCTGCACTACAGAATGAGAATCGTAACTGCTACTGCACTTCTTTGAATTGCTTTCAACTCCCTTGTCCCCTTCAGAAATGCCAGTCTGCTCAGCACCACCTTCTGATGCAGCCAGGTTACTGTCATGCATGGTTGATGATTGCCTTCGATTTTGAGTCCTATTTGAATTATTATTTGGGCAGAACTCAATATTCCTCTTAAGGCGGCAAATGACCAGGGAATCCTGCAGATAACATTCACAAAAGCCAAAAGAATAAAATTTTCTTCTGAAGAAAATATCATAATTGAAATTAAGGACTCTGTATTATTACCTAACACTGACACCCAGATGCATTTTTGTTTTTGTCAACTAAGTTATTGCCCATTTATACCATCCCAAATCAAATTAACTACAGAACTAAGCCTCACGAAGGGTTCAAAACAACACAGAATCTCAGAGCAAAGGGATTGTTTATAAGGAATCTGGAGCTAAGACTGTGATTATGAAAATATATATATATATATATATATATGCAAGTTACTCCATTTTGAGTGCTATATATTTTCAATAATAAATAACCTGGGATTTTCCATCCAAGCAGTACTCATGCATGATCCACTCTGTCCTTTCCCCATTCGGTGCACGACCTATGTGGAACACAAGAGTTCTCTTTGTACCAATTACATTAGAGCCAGACTTTACATTCCGTTCTTTCCCAGTGGCTTTCCAATAACCCAGCTCAGTCGCCCTCTTACTTTGTGAACCATTTGGATACTTCCTTCCACGAGCACAGAAGAAGAACCATTCATTTTCTGACTGTATGATGGATTTGGCTGGTCACAAAAGAAACCAGCACTAATCAGTAGTCAACAAATTTGGTGAACTATAAAGAAATTACACCCAAATGCAAAAGATTGTCTGCCCCATCAAAAGAAGAACCAAGATGACACACTTCATCATTGCAAGAAACAATAAGAAAGAAAATTAAGTTTCAAACTACCATCCACACGAATCATAGATTCTGTAAGTTGTTAGTTCCGAAAAAAGTCTCGGTATCAGTACAAGCAAAGCAACAATTGAATTGAATTATAAACAAAACGTGAAAACTCTGCTACCATACTCTTCCTTTTAATTAGATGTTATTAGATCCAATTTTTCTCCAACATCTTGAACAAAATTAATGATCGAATTAGACTACTGTTTTTGTATAGGATCTCCATCGATGTTCAAGGCTAGGAGCATCCCCCCTCAGTTTATGTCCCATGGAGAACACAAGCCAAAAGGGCAAAGAAAAACTCTAGCCTAAAAAGGATCCTCCTTTTATGTTCCCCTCAGGCCTCAACCATAAAAGAAACACCCAACAGACTCAAAATTTACAAATATTCATTCTTTTCCATCTTTCAAAAGATTAAACACTAAACAGGCATTAACAGAATGGCTAAAACATTCATTTTGACGAACACAAGAAGATATATATACAGAGAAATGAGAGAAGAAACCAACCTGGTAAATCCCAGGGCTCATATTTGCAGATTTCGACCTCGGAAATAACCTCAACACACTCGTCGGTGCCTTCCAGCTTCTTCTTCAAGTAATAGGAAATCAATTCGACGTCGGTGGGTGAAAATCTAAACCCCGGAAACATGGAAGAGGCTGCTAAAGACATCTGGGTCTCTCTCGAAACTCCTTCCGCCATAAGATTGAAATAGAAAATTCCTGTTTTTAGCAGAAGTACCCTTTTCTTTTATCTGTTCCTTTCGGCGCTACTTTTGCTTTTGAAAAGAAAGTTGAAGAGGGAGTGGGAGCCGAGAAGGCGTATTGAAGTGGAGAAGATGTGCGTGGCTTGGGCTGCCTTTGAGTTTGGGAGTTTTTTTTTTTTATTTTTTTTATTTTTCCCTGCCTCAGTCT